TTCAAGATAAACTGCCTTCACTGCTAAACAAATGAACAAACAAAGATAACACTTCAAATGCCTTGCTCCTCGACCTTTACGGTCCTTATAGTAAAATGGACCAGCATAATCCACACCTACATTTGCAAATGGCAAACTAGGAGATATTCGTGGATGAGGCAAATCGCCCATTATTGGGTGTAAAAATTTGGGTTTAAACCTAAAACACAAAACGCAATCTCTGACAATTTTTTTTGCAAGATTCTTGCCAGAAATAGGCCAATACCTTTCACGTATATTTGCCAATAGATGCTGAGGAACACAGTGGTAAAGTTTAGCATGCTCATATTTCAGAATTAGGTAAGTCAAGTGATGCTTGAAACTTAGTAGAATCGGATGCTTCTTGTCATAGGAATAGGCAGAGTGACGCAGCCGACCACCTACTCGAATTAGAGCATCTTTAAGAAATGGAGCTAGACTGAGAAGACTGCGTTTGTTGCCTACATAGCCTAATTTTTGAAGCTGTTTTATGTCCTCGGCAAATGACTCTTGTTGAGAAAGTACAGCCAACTTAGTAGTGGCATTTCCTATTTCAGCAACTGAAAGATTACCGACGAGTCTCTGATCCTTAGAAAGTTTACAATTTGAAATGAATCGTAAGCATGTAGCTGTAACCCGCCTAATGCGAGTGAAAGAGGAGAACCGCTTAAACGGAAAGAGGTTATCAACTTGTGATTGAACAAAAACCTTAATCTTTTTTCGTATTTCTGGAAGTTCTTCCGACGAGGTTGTTAACGAAATGTCGATTGGCCAATAAGCGGGATCTTCTGATAACCATGTAGGTCCATGAAACCATACCTTTGAAGAAAGAAGGGCCTTCGGGTTTAGACCCCGAGAAAGAAAATCTGCGGGATCTGATCCGTAGGAACGTACCGCCAACACCTTGATGAAGTGAGGGTTTGAATCTCAGAAATTCTATTTCCTACGATAACTTGAAAGTGACGTGAGGAAGAACGAATCCAACCAAGAACAACAGTTGAGTCAGACCAAAAATAGGAAGAATCGATATTACATGTCAAGGATGATGTAACCTTTTGAAATAGTTTTGCTAATAGGGTCGCACCACATAGCTCCAATTTAGGTATACTGATTGCCTTGAGCGGGGCTACACGGGTTTTTGAAGTGAGTAGGTGAATAGACACATTGCTAAATGAATCAATGGACCTCAGATAGATACATGCTCCATATGCGTATTGAGAGGCGTCTGAGAATCCATGAAGCTCAGTGCGTGACAAGTTTTTGCAAGAAGCATGTCTGGAAATTACCAACGAATTGAGATCAATTAGCTCAGATCGACAGGATTGCCACCTTTTTGCAATTTCTTGTGGAACCTCATTGTCCCATCCTAGTTGCAAAGACCATAATTGTTGCAAAGTTGTTTTCGCTTGTATGACAATCGGTCCAAGTAAGCCCAGGGGGTCGATTATTTTTGCAGTTTCAGATAGGATGATCCTTTTTGTTATAGTCTTAACGTTGGGTTGAGAATCAATATGGAACGATAATGAATCAGCCTTACTAGACCATAGCATGCCTAAAGTTTTGCATGTTTCTGATGAATTAAAATAATAGGTATCTGTAGAAGAATTGGTCTCTTCCAAAAAACTAAGGATCTCCTGACTATTAGTTTTCCATTTTCTCAAGGGAAACCCAGCACTAGATAAAACGGAAGCTACTTGGCTACATAAAAAAGTAAGTTCTTGAACTGAATCTGCGCCAGAGATATAATCATCAACATAAAAGTCACGTCTGATAATTTCTGAAATCCTGGCCATATTGTCCTTATTATCTATGGCGTGTTGTTTCAAACATCTAGTTGCCAGAAATGGGGCACTTGATGTGCCATACATGACAGTATTCAAGGAATAGGCCTGAAGATTGTCTTCTGGATTCGACCGCCACAATATTAATTGAAGTGGCTTAAATGCGTCAGCAACCAGAATTTGGCGGTACATCTTGCAGATATCTGCTGTTACCACGAACGTGTGTTGTCTAAAACGGAGAAGTATGGATAAAAGGTCCTCTTGAACTCTAGGCCCAACCAATTGCAAGGAATTGTATGAAACACCAGAACTTGAAAGAGAAGAACTGTTAAAAACTACTCTTAATTTTGTAGTAGAGCTTTCTTCTTTAATTACAGCATGATGAGGAGAAAAGAATGTCACAGTTTCACTTGAAATGGCAACTGGAGACATGTGTCCCATATCGCAATATTCTCTCATGAATTCTGTATACATTTCTTTAAGTTTTGGGTTGGCGGAAAACCGTTTCTCTAAAGCGAAGAATTCTCTTACAGCAGCTTGCTTGGAATCGCCTAGCATTGAAATCGGATTTTTCAAAGGAATATTGACAACAAATCGACCGTCATTATTTCTTTGAAAGGTTTGCTGAAAGTTGAGTTCAGCCTGCTGCTCTTCCTCCGACAGATAATTTTCTAGAGACAATTCTTCGGTTTCCCAAAATTTTGAAACTTGACGTTGAAGCGTGTCCCTTGTGTTCAAGAGATTGCAGGAAACATTTTTCACTTTCGTGGAACCAATTGACCCTGATATGAACCACCCAAGTTTGCTTTTCTGGAGAACAGGCATGTTTTCTCCCATAGACTTTCTTCCATTACACAGAAGTTTGCTAAACAACCCTATACCAATGAGAATATCAATTTTACTAGGTTCAAAAAAACGAGGATCGGCTAATTTTATATAAGAAGGTATTGGCAATGCCCGTGTGTCTAGTCTATCGGAGTATTAGGCAAACTTTCTGTGATGCTGGGAACAATTAAACAATACAATTCCGTTTGAAAGTCAGAATTGATGGATTTCATATGAACGTCACATGCCCTTCATACCTGTGCTTGTACACTATCAATACCACTAATGGAAACGTCAACGTGGTTCTGAATTAAATTTAGCCTTTCTGCTAAATCTTTTGAAATAAAGTTTGACATTGAACCACTATCCAATAGTGCCTTACATCGATGAAAATAACCATTTGAATCCTTCACCTCAATTGCAGCTGTTGCTAACAAGATTTGGCCTTGCCCTATAAGACCGCAACTAAAATTCTGAGATTCAAAGTGACTTTGCGAATGTTGAGATTCTGAATCTGAACACTCCACATTGCCTTCAAAGATCTGAACTGATCTCTCGGAAGAATTGAAATGCGAGGTTTGAGCTACATTAACTGATGTTTGTTCATTCGAAGGGTGTAATAGCGAGTTATGTTTTTCGTTGCAGTACTTACATGAACCAAACTTGCACTGACCTGCATCATGATTTCTTTGTAGGCAATTCGCACAAAGTTTCAAGGACTTGACCCTTTCTTTTTTTTTCTCTTAAGGGAAGCGTCAAAAATGCTTGACATTTATAAATTAAATGGCCAGATTTGTTACAGTAAAAGCAATTATAGTTGGGTGATGGAATAAACTTAATATTTGACTTAAAAGGTGAGTTATGTGAGAAGTTGATGGACCAAAATGTTTAGATTTTACTTTATGCAAATCTATTTTTTCTAAATAATCCGCTCTGGATGATAAAAACTTTTTCAATTCAGCAAGAGTGGGAAGCTCATCACTTAGCTCAAATTGCTCCCAGTACCGAATAGTCTCACTATCTAGCTTGCTAGTAACTAAGTATATTATAAGTGGATCCCATGAGTCCGTAGGAATGCCCATGTTTTCTAGAGAACGTAAGGTTTTTGATAAATCGTCAATTAAGCTCCGGATTGATAGAGAGGAATCTTGTTTAACTTCGGACAATGCAAAAAGTGACTTAATATGCTTGTGAATAATTAACCGTTTGTTATTATATCTTTCACAAAGCAAATTCCAAGCCATGTCATAGTTTTGACTTGAAATGTCAATGCTACTGATGCATTGTAGAGCTTGACCCTCCAAGGAAGTTCGCAAGTAATGAAATTTCTGAACTGAATCAAGAAAATCAGCATTATGTATAAGTGACAAATAAAGCTCTTTAAACTCATACCATTTTAAATAAAGTCCAGAAAATTTGGGTAATTCTATAGCAGGAAGTTTAACGTTAATTGAGTGTTTAGAATTGTTTGAGTTGGAACCCTGCATTGGCGACTGAGTTTGGGAGTGATTTGAAAGTGTAAATAAAAATTGCTTAGCCTCTGAAATTATTGTGTAATACTTATTCTCAAAGGAGCCCTCTTCTTCCTCCCGATAACTCTCCAAGTCTAGAGCTTCCAATTCAACCTGAATGACACTATATTCTGAAAGTAAGTTTCCTTCAAGATCCCTTAACCGAGTATCAAGTTCAATGTACTTTGAACTGTCAACTGGACTCGAAAGCAACTTATTTAAAAACGACTGAAACATATGCAATTTAGACTCTAATGCGTCTCTTTTTCTAACAAGTTGTTCAGTTTTTTGTCACTAGGTACCTCAACACTTAAGTTTAGATTTGAATTAGATTTATTCTTTTTCTCATTCTTTTTAGGCATTTTGAATTTATTTCTGAACCAAAATCAAATATAAAATGTTACTATATATTTATTGACATAAATATGGGCATATAAATGGGCCCCTATACTACTCAACTCAATCAAGCAAAATGTCAATGAAAGTTGAGTATGAAATTAAAATAGGTATTATGAAAAAATCTCCACCGAGAAATTCAAAAGCAAAAAAGGTAACTAACCACTACAAAAAACACTTGAAACATTCTACTAAATGAAATAGCAAACATCTAACATCAACCAATACCCAATAATTTATTTTAATGGCATTCAAAATCGAAAAAACTTGTGTAATAGCACCACCTTATCAACCTAAAAAGGCTAGGTTAACCAGCAAATAGACGTAAACAGTGCTCCTTATTTTCTCTGAACTGAGAAACCGCTTGGTAACATTCACACCTACTTTTGAAAATGGCAATAAATAAGTGTAATGCTGCCCTGGCGCCGTCCAATCGTCGAAGAAACTGTCCAAAATAGTGTAGAATGAAACTTAATAAATTGCTTCATAGACTGCAATTTAATTGACAGGAACACACTTCTTGTAGGCTGATTGCATAGGACGCCCTTCTGAGCTGAAGACCACTCCAAACTGATTTGCAACCAGAATTGACCCTACTTAAGCTTATGTTACCTGGTTGGCTGCTGCTTCAAATTCACTTCGCGTACTACCCCAAAACACTTGCCTTTTTATTGACACACTAATTATCCGGCTCGAAGGACCAAATTTTATGTTATGTTAAATGACACAACATCGCATGCACGGTTCAGAGGTCTCTAATAGAATAGACTTGACGTACTTTGCTACTTAGACACTGATGGGAACTGTAAGTGGACTGTATTAAAAGAAAGGCAATTGAGTTAATAAACAAAGTTTCTTTACTAGAACTAAATCAGTTATCAATAAATACTGGGGTAGCACGATAAAAGACAGAATCGAACCCGTATTCTAGAAATCTGATAAAAGCGCAGCGCGTCACCGACGTACTACTAACTCTAATAGAAGGCAACTAAACTCACGTACTTTCTCGGTTGTCCTTTAGTCCCTTGGTTACCGTATAAAGTGCTCTGCGTCACACACACCCCCTTACATCGGCACACCGTTTTTTTCCGGAAACAAGCGTTCTATTTATAGATAAGTAATTTTTATTTTAGGATATTCTTATATTTGTGTAACACAATGCAAAAATAAGAATTCCTAACATTGATTCCATATAAGTTTAACACATAACAACTGTCAAAACTTTCATCTTTTATGGTCTTGGAGCTTTTTTCCGAACTCGACTAATGTTGTCATCAACCTATTGAAAAAATAATAATCACAATGGCATGTATTTAGTGAAAAGGTATCCAAATGAGCTCAATTTATTCAAGTAAAATAAAGTTCGCCGCACGAGTCTAGCACTATGGAAAGAATGCGCATGAAAAAATTGCAATATTGCCTATTTGACTTCCAATAAAAAATACCTCAATATTTATTTATATTGCACACCTATATTTATAGGGAAAAAGTTATATTTAAAAACGTTGCACGCATTCGTATGACAGGCAGCATAAAGCTTGCAATGAATGGTGATATTTCCCCTTGCCCTTCAAACGTCGTAGTGCTAGACTCGTAAGGCGAACTATAATTACACTTCATTCATAATTTAAAAATAAATAACAAATAAATATTTAAATACTTTTAGGAATCGATAGCATTTTTTTTTTCAACTTCTACAATGACCAACAGAAAATAATCACTGTAAAAGCCACTATTATACAAACTAAGTTAATTTTTTTAGCTTACAAAAGAGAGTCAATTTAGTATGTCATCATCATTAAAAAATTATCATAATGTAAAATCGAAGAATTGAACTATCTAACACTAATTGAATTTATATTAAATGCACAGTTTTCTTGGTGTCATAAAAGTCTGAAGTGTTTCATCCGTAATTTTCGCCCTATTATCTTGATGCCCTTGTAGAATGGGTGTAAGGATATCTATAAGGATCTTTTTGAGTTCTCCTGTTAATAATTCGCCACTAGTATAGTTTTTCCTGATTTCTTCCAATTTTTTGTCATCTTCTAAGAAAAACCTAATGGAAAAATAAATAAAGTTACTTCCTCTTTATCATAATAATTTGTAGTTAGAATAAATTCGGATAAAAGCATAATCATTTCTTACCTTAAATACTGATATGCTATATCTACATCACAGTTTCCTCCGATTTTTCTATGCTCTTCCACTGTAACTTGTCCACCAGAAAATGCATGCTTGTTAATTTTATTTTTCAACTGTTTTGGTGTATCATTCACATAAATGGTGCTGTTAGCTTCCGATGCTGACATTTTCGTTTGGGCTCCTTGCAAGGCAGGAAAAAATTTTGAGTGCAACAAGGCAGGCTTGTCGAAACCTAAAAATAATATTAAAAACCCAGATTAGCTCAAGTGCAATAAAGACAAAAGATTTGGGCTACAATTCATTACATACTGGAAATCGCATTTACTCTTCTACTCAAATTTGATGCTTTCAAAGTTAAAATTTGCCACCAATAAGAGAATTATTACTCTTTTTGAAGAAATTACAATAATTTATTGATTACAATTGTGAATAAAATGTTTTGCATTACATGCTAAGGACTAGAAGACATCTGATCAAAAAAAAAAAAAAAATTGAGAATCAACAAAGAGAAAAAAATCGAATGAGGTAAATTAAGGAAAAAGAAGTATTCCCAGACTCTCAAACACCCACAACTTAGCGTCGTAGATAAAATGTGACATATTACATGTGTGTGGTAGATAATCTGTGTAGGTATAGTTGATATTTTCAATTAGAATAAATAAAACATTTCTGCATGTAAATATAAAGTGAATTATATTCAATTGTATTTGATTGTATAAATTGCAATTTGCAATCATAATGAAACATTATCAAACATATTAAAAATTTACTGGGTGTTTCATTTGAAAAAATGCAATTTGTGTTCATAACTGTCAAAATATATTAGTCTTTTGTTTTTTGTCCTTCCTTATCTATTGGAAAACAACCCTACTGTATGTTTTTTTATTTATTTAAATAACTCTAGAAGTAAAGAAACTATGACAGTTTAAAATTGTATCAAGATAAAATGACCACACTGTACAGGGTGGCCCAAATTCGAGCTTCATCATTGGGATCTTGGTAACCGTAAGAGATACGGGGTAGGTTTTTTTTTATATTTATATTTTTGTAAAGCTAATTTTATTGTAAAGCTAATAATATTGTATAAACTAATAAGATAACTAATAAAAATAATAATAAAATCTACCCACTAGAAGTCGTTATTGTCAGAAAATCTCTCTCAAATTCATTTGGCCGATGACAGTTTCCTTATCAAAGCTCCCTCAAGTTTACAACTCAAACTAACTTTCCCAAACTTGCAGGTCGAATATTTCAGTCTTACAGAATCGTACTTGCAAGTGTCGGCTTTGGATATCATGCGAGCGGATTCGTGCACAATGTGCTTGAAATCTGAATATTTATTATTATTTGGAATAATGCACCAGAGATGGGGTCCAAAGTTTTTCAGGATTCATGGCCTCATTTATTATGGCCAAGGCCAAACAAGACGCTGCAGCTGCTTGAATTGAAGGCTTGACGTGTGCCAAATGGTATTCCAATAGAGCGGCCTCCAAAATGTATTTGGCCAAATTGTGATGGTTGTGTCTAGCATTGGCGACTTTACTGTAACGTCTTAGAAAGTAAGTGGCGAATGGCCATCCCATTCTGAATCCCAACTTTTTGCATATATCCCTTTCCATTTGGAGGATTTGTTTTTTAGTAAAAGCATCGTCGCAAATATAGACAAAGTCGGTTAAATCTGGAATGTAGACTTCTTCATATTTTCCTGCTAATAATAGAGCTGATGTTCCTACTAGCTGAAGTATATTGCGATCGACAGCCTGGTTGACCTGTAAATATATGTCTAAAATCGAAATAGACAAATACAAAGACAACGTTTCCAATCCCATGGAAACATTCTTGTGTACATCAACTAACCAATTGACGACAATGGTGCGCATCTTGGGTGAAACTTTGGAGTGTTCCAAAAATTTATCTGCAGTTGTAAATTGATCTTCCAAGCTCCTCAAATGTGTTATAATGTCTTGTACGTATTCGGTGACCAATAAGGGATCGCCTTTTGATTTTTCATCTGGATCATTAAATAGCCTATAAGTTGGTTTTGGGCTGGGCCAAACTGACTTTTGCAGGTTGTATCAGAGTAGTGTTTCTAGCAGAAGTTGGAATGAGGGTTTTGTTGACGGGTTTTTCTGAGGCAAGAGTTTTGTTTTTGGGCAAAACCAAGCTCTCTTGTCTGATGGGTTTTCGGCAAGGGATTTTTACGGCTGCTGCGTTTTCTTTGTTAATTTTCAGATTGTTTTCTTTAGCTGGTGCAATTTTCTTGGTTAAATCAGTATGGGTTTTCTTTGCAACATCTTTTTGATGGACCCCAATTCTTGATGGTTTCAAAACGTTTCTCTTCAGATTGGCGGTGGGGTCGTGGTTGAAGGCGTGTAGGGTGTTGCCCAAGTCACCTAGGACCCCCCTTTTGCCGATAATGTTATTAGCTGGTCGGCTGGCCATTTTTATATATCTATTTAGGGGTCAAGCTTTTTCAATAAAATAATGTATAAATTGAATAAAACTCCAAAATATTCACGTTTTTGAAGTATTTCAACAATGTTAAATTATGGCAAAGTTGCACAATTTTATGACCAATAGAATGCCGTTTTGAAACCAGAAACATTCTGAATACTTCCGGAGATACCTATTCGAAAAAAACCGAAATTTTGTAAAATCGTTTTTATTTTTTCCTAGGCTTATTTGAAGAGCAATTTTAAAATAAATGTCATTTCATCATTGTCGCTTTTTCCCCTTTAAAAGCTGATGCTACTAAATTTAAAATTCGACATTTCGTCTTCAGGCGGCTATCCTCAACTTCCTTTTTTTAAATACGGACTTAGATTTTTTATTTGCGAATTTGTCATCTTTGGGTATCCTAAAACCGATACTGTTTATAATTTTTCAATAACACAGTAAAAAAAGCAGGTCCGTATTTGAAAAAAATAAATTGATGATGATTCCAGAGGAACGAAACGGTGGATTTTAAATTTAATACTGCCATCTTGTAGAGAAGAAAAAGTGACAATGGGAATGTGGAATTAGTTTTTCACAATCTTTTTAAATAAAATCAGGAAAATAGGGAAGCTATACAAAAAAAAAAATGAATTCTTCGTTTTTCTTAAATTTTTTCCTGATTCCATTTAAAAAGATTTTGAAAAACTAATTTCACATTCTCTTTGTCACTTTTGCTTCTCTACAAAATGGCGGTATTAATTTTGAAATCCAACGTTTCGTTCCTCTGGAATCATCATCAATTTATTTTCTTTAAATACGGACCTGCTTTTTTTACGGTGGTATTGAAAAATTATAAACAGTATCACAAATAAAAAATCCAGGTCCGTATTTAAAAAAAAAAGAAGTTGAGGATGGCCGCCTGAAGACGAAACGTCGAATTTTAAATTTAGTAGCACCACCTTCTAATTCATTCATTGCACAGTTGCATAAAGAATGCGGGTAGTCTGCAAATTTTCAAAAATAGATTGAAGTGTCGCTTGCTGGGTGAATGATATAGTTGACTTTTTTGTTTCTATTTTAGTTTTGTGATTATTGTCTGTTGGTGATTTTTAGGAGTAGGGAGTATATACTGTATACCTATATTTTTTTTTTTTTTTTTTTTTTTTTTTTATTTGCATATACAATTTTCACAGGATTCATTCACTAATTACATTCAGTAACAATACTTAATAGGTATTTATGAAAAGTTAATGGGTCACCTAGATGTTTGCACATCTGTATGTTTCCCTTAAATTGCAACTTGCTTAAAATAGTTTAATCCTTGTAAAAATAGACTCCTCTTTTACAAATATAAATTCAAATACAAATATAAATACAAGTAAATATAGATAATGCGCTCAGTAAACCAAGTGTTGTTCTATGTGTGTCTCATATCATTATTCTTAGAAATATTTTAGAATTATTTACAATAAAAGTTTTGCTCTCACTATTAAATGACTTAATTCTATTAATAGCCTTTATATTATTAGGTAGTTGATTATAAAATTTTGGGCCAAGATAATCTACAAATTTTAGATTCACAGTCTTCCTGTTAATTGGGATGGTTAGATGATTGTCCATATTGGCTCTAGTCTGATGATAGTGGTCTATAGTTCTTTTCAGTGTTTTATTTTTGTGAATGTATGTACAAACAGAATGAATAAATAAGCATTCTATATTGCAAACATCCACGCTATACAATAATCTGGTTGGATATAATTTTTTCCTTTTGAATGTTACTTTTAAAATGTAGTTTTGAATAATTTTTAAAGGTTGCAAGTTGCTCCTGTATGTGCCACCCCATATCACCAGACCATAGCGAATCAAAGATTCGACAAGTGACCTGTAAACCATTGTAGTTAGTTTGGAACACAGAAATTCTCTCAGTACATAAAATTTTGGGATTAGACAACGAATTTTCTTTGTAAGATAATATATGTGTTCTGTCCACTTTAAGTGTTGATCAATGATTATCCCTAGATACTTTGTCTTTGAGACTGACTGAACGGCATCCTCCCCCTCAACGCCCATCTCAATGGTTTCAAAATTTGGTCTGTTTGCGTTAGTTAATGAAAATGCTATATAATTAGTTTTAGATAAATTCAGAGACAATCTGAAAGATTCAAGCCACAGTTTTACAATCCTCAAACCTCTGATCACCTTTTCTCTTGTTTCTTCCCATGTAGCACCCGAAAAAACCACAACTGTATCGTCTGCGTAAGATATTATTTTTCCATTAACATTCAATTTAAGTAACGAATTTATATAAGTTATGAATAGTATTGGTCCCAAAATTGTGCCTTGTGGTATCCCTATTTTAATTTTTAAGGCTTGGCTGAGTGTGTTATTCAACTTAAGATATTGGTCTCTGTCACATAAATAACTTTCAAATAGTTTCAATACCCTGCCTCGGACACCACACTGGGATAGCACTTCCAAAAGCTTCAGGTGTGGCACCGTATCAAAAGCCTTTGCAAGTTCAAGAAAAACAGCTATTGTTTTTTTGCTTTCATTCAAATTACTAGTAACATCCGTGGTTAAAAAATACATTGCGTCAGTTGTGCTTAAGCCCTTCGAGAATCCAAATTGATTTTCGGATAGAACTTTGTGTTTTTTAAAAAATGCAATAAGACGTTCCTTCAAACACAATTCAAAAATTTTTGCAAAGTTGTTTATTAGACTAATAGGGCGATAGTTTTGTATTTTATTCTTTTCATCACTTTTGTATATTGGAGTAATTATGGATTCCTTAAATTGACTGGGCACTTTACCTGTTTTAAAAATTAGATTCATAATGTAAGTTAAGGGTTTTGTTATCTCCAAATGTACAAATTTTATTAGCTTTGAGCATATACCATCCTTACCTGGTGCGCTGTTATTTTTTACCGCTGATATTTGTATTATGATTTCGTTTTCTGTGATAGGGCTTAGGAATAATGACGACTGAAGGCTTTCATTTACAACAAGAGGGTTTAGTGGAGTATTTATTTTTTCTCCCATTTCCGTGCCAATGTCAGCAAAGTATTTGTTACAAGCATTGGCCATGTCTATGTTATTATCAAATTTAATATTATTTTCATCAACAAATGTGTAATTAGTTTTAGAATTTTTCCCCTTACCGTTTGTAGCGTCTGCTATTATTTTAAACATATTTTTTATATTACTTTTATTGCTTTCAATCTTTTCTCTATAGTAGTTGTACTTCTGTTTTTTTATTAATTTATTCAATTCATTTCTGTAATGAATATATTCTGCTTTGAGCTCATCACTGTGGTTTTTTCGTAATCTCTTCTTGAGAGAATCTCTATGTTTTATTGATGTTATTAGCCCAACTGTTATCCATTCCCTAATTTTTTTAAATTTTGAATTATTTCGTAATCGTTTGGATGTCGCTTGATCTAACAAATGTTTAAAGGTATTGAAGCAACACCGTGTTGCATGCTCTGAATCATTTGAACCATAGACATCGGACCAATCCTGGTCTAACATCATTTTCTTAAAATTAGAGTAGTCAATATGGTTGTAGTAGTCAGAGTTCTGATCATATTCGTTTGTTGTAATTTTGTCGCTTGAGTCAAGATTAATGTTAAGCATTATAGGATAGTGGTCTGTCACGTCTGCATCCATTATGAATGAGTGAAGCCTAAGGTTATTCAATTTTAGTTTTTGTCTAACAAACAAGTGATCTATACAAGAAGATGATTCTGAGGTTACTCTAGTAGGCAGATTTATATGAGAAACGAAGCCATTCAGTCCCATCAAAGACAAGTACTCATTTACTGTAGCATTGCATTGATTTTGATTTAGGATGTTTATATTGATATCACCAGTAATTATTTCGATACTTTGAGTCAAAGTGCCGTGGAAAAACTTCTTCAAGTCATCAATAAATAAATTATCTGCTATAGGAGGTGGTTTATATATAGCCGAAATTCCAAAAGACAACTTACAATGCACAAAAGTGATTCTACTCATAGTAACGTGTGATAAGGCCAATTTTATATGGCTCACAGTTGCATTCAATATGTCCCTCACAAAAATCAATAAACCGTCATTCTTATTAAAGTCTCCACCGTTATAATATGTTGTATAACCTGGCAGGTTATACATATCAACAGACTCTTGCTGAAAGCATTCACTTAAAATGATAATATCGCAATATGTTAGGTGGTAAAGTTCCATGAATAGGAGTAACTGATCAAAGTTTCTATTTACACTTCTAATGTTAAGATGTAAAATATTTAGAACTTTGTTTTCTAATTCAATCTGTTCGGTAAGTGAAGCTGCATCAACAAAAGATTCATGCGCCCCGTTCCCCTTATTGTCCAATTGAGCTAGTATTTCATCATGGGGTGTTTTAAACATTATATATTATATTCTATTTTATTTTTAAGTAATTCTATATGATATTTGTAGCTTGGACAATCTGGGTCAGTTGTTGCATGTGTTACCTTGTAATTTGTATTAAATTTATTATTTGTCTGAAGACAATTATTGCACTTTTTTATATTTTTTTGACACATTTCAGCCGTATGTTCCTCCGCGCAGTATTCGCAGACTATTTTCTTGGTGCACTTATTGTTTTTGTGATAAAATTCCTGACAATTGTAACATCTTGTCACCGTCAGGTCCTCATAGACAGGGCATCTGCTCCATTCAATATGAATCTTCTTACGTTCCATAAATTTGTGAAAAAGACTTGCTGAACACTCTGCCAGAATTGTTGCTGCTGAGTTCCGCTTTTTTTTTACATATGTTATTCTTAGTTCATCACTCTCCAAAATCCAGTTGTTTTGTTTTCTTATACATTCTTCAATATCTTCCATTGGTTTGCTACCTTCATATCCTGGAATCTTTACTTTTGGTTTCATCATCTTGGTTGTAGTTATTTCGTATCTATTTTCTAGCGCATTTTCAGCTGCTCGTTTAAGTTCTTCTACTTCTTGTTTGGTGGGACATTTTATGACCATGTTGCCATTTCCTGTTATTCTTATGTTTTTTATGCCTATATTTAATTCTGTAGGATTAATATTTTTCAAAATTTCATCCCTTGTTTTTTGTTCCTGCTGCCTCTGCTTCGGCCGAATAATTAAATCAGGGACGCATGCCCTAGTCTTCAGAGTTGGTTCCCTGACAATACCAGCATATGAAATTTCTGGAAAATGAGGTTTGATGTTCTTTACTTCTTCAAGCTGTTTTTTAAGTAAGCTTATGATTTCGTTTTTGGCTTCAATATTTTCATTTTTACTTTCAATGACATTTTGCAGTAATTTAAAAGTTTCGAAATTTGTGCAGCTTGGGCAGTAGAATTTCATTATTCTACTACGTAATTCTAGCACCTTGACTTCGGAAGAGGAAAGCCCTCCGCACTGCTTGCATATTTTTTCCTTACAGCCATCACAGTTGAAAATGTCCTTCGATTTTAATTCATGACATTTGTAGCACTCCATTACTCCGCTCTCCCCTTCACAATGTTTTCGATCATGGTATACACACCGTAGGCTGGCCTTGGCAACACTTTAGAATCACGGTGTTTTTTTTGCAAATTCCTGGGTGAATACGGGAGAATACTATGATGTTAAAAGTTTTGCTTTTATTTTCATAAGTAGTTAATAACTAATTAAACACACAAATCCATTTAGCGGCACTTTTATACTCATATAATTTAAATAAATTCCGAGAGAAATCGACAAAAGTACACGACCGTTACCGGCGACGCTCTATATATATGTGTGCTCTATATGTAGTTTAATTTTTTTTTCTTCTTTTTTTTAGGTTTGTAGGAATTTGTACCTAATTGTATTTTGTTTTATGTATTAGCCAGGTGCTAAATAAAGGATTACTATTATTCTAGAGGGGAAAACGTGACAGTCAAATAAGCCCAAGACAAAATAAATACGATTTTACAAAATTTAGATTTTTTCTGAATATTTCCGGAAGTATTCGGAATCTTTCTAGTTTCAAAACGGTATTCTATTGGTCATAAAATTGCGCAACTTTGCGATAATTTAACCGACTCCGTATCTGTTACTGTTACCGAGATCCCAATGATGAGGCTCGAATTTGGGCCACCCTGTACTTCACACATTAGAAAAACGATTATCTTACCAATTCTAGGACAAACATCTCTACTCATCCTGAAATATGGATCTTGATCAATAGCACAAGGAATTAAGCAAGGGATTTTTTGAGTGCCGAAAATGTCCGGAAACGAAGTGGACAGGCACGGTGTAGCTTGAACTGCCGGAAAAGCAATTTTCCCAATAACTGTACTGTCGTCAAATCCAAAAATACCTTTCACTTGATTGAAAGTAACACACTTCTGGATTCTGATCATGTTACGGTAAAATTCGGCTCTTTGCCTGCAAAAAAAAATAACATCAGAATTAGAAGGTTTGACCAGAAAAAAACAGTAAAACTCACCCAATATAAGTAAAATCCGAAAAAATAAAAGTTTTATTGATATCGAAGCCACAAGCTATAATATCTTTAGCATTCTCCAATGCCATTTTATAGGCTTCTTCAACAGACAAGTCTTTCCACAATGTTTTCTCGTCATCAGTCATTTGAATAACAAGAGGACAGTTGAAAATGTCTTGCAACCATTTGCAGAGAGTGAAAGGAATCAAATGCCCAACGTGCATCGAGGAGGATGAAGGTCCTCTGCCTGTGTAGAGGTAGAAGGGTTTACCCTGTTCATATCTGAAGAAAATGATTTCATTCAAGTCAAAATGTACTTACGAATATATAAATTTATTACCTAGTTAAAATGGAATGCATGTCTCTGTGAGAGAAAAAGAATCCTCTTCTCAGCAAATGGTGTACTGGTTTGCCTGTGACTTTTTCAAATCGTGCCAAAAGTTCATCGTCAATTTTGGAGCTACCAAATCGCACTGCAAGAAATAAAATGTTCAAATAATAAATGTCCTTAAGATTAACTGGTTTATACTACAGTCTACAGGCTTATAGTTTATAATTATCTCGTAAGCACAAAACAAAAATTAAAAATTGTAGTTATTGAGTTTAAACATAAAATAAAAACGTTTTCGGTTGTTAGTAGATGTTAGATGTTGGTGCATCTTGTGCTACTCTTTGGCTCCAAATGGAATATAAAATCCCATATTATGCTGAATGGCCATTAAATTTTTTTTGATAAAAATTTTCTAATTGAAAAAATGTGTCACTTACCAATCAATTTATCATAGTCTACCCCTGTATCCGACTTGCTCACCACATTCCAAGGATCTACGAAATCGTCTTCGTCTTTGCCTTGGTAGGGTTTGTCCGAATGGTTCTCCTGGATGGATACTTTTTCGACGTTATTTGCCAATTTTTCCGACATAATTTTTCTGCCAATGTATTTTATTTTGGATGAGAAATATGGTGAGCAACTGAGATATCACCATAAAATTTCTATGATGATGTAGATGGTAATTAATTAGTAATCAGAAAATATGAGGTTAGGTTAGGGTTAGAACTAGTGATGCGCGATGTTCATCGATGTTCTGTAAACATCGATGTTTTGTATTCGATATTCGATATTTTTGTCATCGATGTTGATGCCACCAGATATCGATGTTACCAATTTTTGTCATCTTTTTCTTCGATTTGCTCCGAAATTTTGACAGGCACCCGTTGACGTTTTATACGTGTATCAAACGTCAAAATTTTAAAGCAATGTCAAAAAAAAGCGAATTTCGCGCAAGTGAGAATTAAGCTTAAGGTGTTTTTTCTCGACACCAACAGTTCGAAATGTTTTTGAAATCTGTTTTGAACCTATTTAAAAATGACGTCATGCTGGTAATTAGCCATAGCGCCCATAGCCCTAATAGCCTATTTTATATTTCTCAAAAAATTTAAGAGTGTTCTGTTCATCATTCTATAACCTGCTACAAAAGACACAACACAAATATAAACATAAACAACAAACTGTCAACTTTTCTTCAACTATTGCGCATGCGTTTGTTTTTGAACCGAGGCGAAATCTCGTTTCAAAATATTTTCAAACAGTTTTGTTATGACGTCATTGGTTCAACGCGAAAATGTAATGTTTTGAATTAGGTTCAACTAATTTAAGCGAGAAAAAACACTTTTAATTCTCAATTGCGCGAAATTCGCTCTTTTTTGACATTGCGACAATTTGACATGTGATACAAGCATAAAACGTCAAACTTTCGAAGCAATGTCAAAAAAAGAGCGAATTTCGCGCAAGTGAGAATGAGGCATAAGGCCGGCGTGTTCGTTTTGGTCAACTTTTTCATCGGTTTGCTCCGAAATTCTGACAGGCACGTGACTGGATCAGACAGTTTTAATTTACAAATCACGTGCCTGTCAAAATTACGGAGCAAATCGAAGAAAAAGATGACAAAAATTGGTAACATCGATATCTGGTGCCATCAACATGAGGCATTAAGCTTTTCAGCCTAGTACTCATAACTGCGAAATTGGCACTTTTTTGACATTGCTTTAACAATTTGACGTTTTATGCGTGTATCAAACGTCAAATTGTCGAAGCAATGTTAAAAAAAGCGAATTTCGCAGTTATGTGTACTAGGCTTAAGAAGGCTGCCTGCTACCTATTGCCTGTCATTACAGTGACCTGTCATTTGCAATTGACGTGTCTCGTAATACGGTGTGCGCGCGCAACTCGTGAGTTCCAGGTGAGCATCCAATGAAAATCGAGTCTGTTAGGGCCTTGCGTCATATTCGTATTCAGGGACGAGTTCAGAATTAATCGTTCCTTCTTTCTTTGTAACGTGTAATTCGACAAAGAGCAAACAAATACTTCACGTATCGTATTACTTGAACTTATCTCAGTGTCGTTCAAGGTTATGTTAGATTATACTTGACATATTCCTTTGCAATTTTATTGTGGGATATTGCCGGATGAAACATTTATCGAAATAAAAGTGCCATCGATGTTAAGATACACTTTAAAGCTCTTTTTCTGTCTAATTGAAGGCGTTGTAAAACACTTGACAATATATCACTTCTTTAAAGTTATAATGTTCGATTTGTATTGTCTACATTTGTTTTGTAACAATAGAATCTGGCTACATTGCAGCCACTAGTTGCGCGCGCATGTCATTTTTTATTACTTTTTAACTTTTATTTATTACAATTAAGCTCTCTTTTTCTATTTCTGCGAGACACGTCAATTGAATAAAGCGCGTTCACGATTTAGGGAGGATTTTCATGCATCCGTTTTTCCGTCGAAATATGTCCGTTTGACATTCTATTTTGACATATTTATATACGATTATGTCAGAATAGAATGTTAAACGGACATATTTCGACGGAAAAACGGATGCATGAAAATCCTCCCCATAGACAATAAAAAATAAAAAGACCTTCAAAAGTATAGCCGAAATAGGTTATACTATTACTGCGCATCCGGTTGCGCATAGCGCATTGCGGAATTTTTGGAAAGCTAGAGACCTACGAAAGATTAGTCCGATCATTCGATTATGTTTCATCTTTCTCTGTCATACCAATTCATAAGACACGGACGTCGTATGAGTTACAGAGCTTTCCTAGCTGTTTTGTAGAAACCTATCAAACATCCATAACTATAGAAACTGTGACCGAGAAAACAAATAAGTAACCTTAAAATAACGACATTTCCGTGTTGAAATTTGTCATTTTTAACCGATTGGGCAGTCGTCTAAGAAGACTCGAACTCACAAAATCTAAAGAACAAAAAGAAGAAATTGTCATTTTTATTAAGGCACTCGGTATCGCGTACCTATAATATTATGTACAACTAGGATAAACTGAACCAGTAAGTATACATGTTAGTTTTGTGATATACGGCATATTTTTTTACTGTTTTAGGAGACCTCAGTCAGAAGAGATAAAATGTAGATGTTAGGCCTTGGCCAGCTTAGCTTGTACATACATTAAAGCATGTATAAGGGATGTAATAACTGTGTTTGTAAACTCTTTAGGTATTTGACCTATCTAGCTATAATATATATTTTTTCTAGTACAATTTAGTGTTTATTTTGCCTTTTTTTTTAATCTACATCAAAAAATGGCACAAAACTGTATGGAGTACCACATCATTTTTCTCATTCGGATTTGAGAAAAAAAGATGTGGAACAACGGAACAACATAAGTAAGTTTTTTGTGCAATCAACTCAAGTCAAATTTCAAAATTCCCGCCATTGCAGTATTTGTTCCGGCTGCCACTATTGACGCCACCGTCGCTGTGACGTCAGCGCTATACAAACTTTCATGTTATCAATCAGGTACTCTTACCTTGGTTTATTATATTTCTCTATGATCCTCCCTTTCAATCGCAATATTTTCTAGTGCGAACATCAAGCATCGATATTTGATAAACATCGCTGTTTGGTAGTCGATATTTTGATACCATCGATGTTGAGTTTCGATGTTTCGTATCGATGTCGCATCACTAGTTAGAGCTATTACTGTGATGTGATTTTCATTTTCCAAGATGACAACGGTGCTGCGTTCGATAACTTGAGTGAGGTAAGGGCTGAGTTCGGCATTACACTCTGTAAACTCTGAGCGCGCTCGAAGCGATAAGATGCTGTTCGTTTTAGCTCTCAGAGTGTTCTTTTTTGCGTTGAGCTTATGACCGCGTATGACTTCACGGTATCCATGCTCATCAATATGCTCATACTGTTCCGCTCCGTGGAGTGCAAAGCCGAACTCGGCCAAGGAGTGAGGCAACCAATGACATTTCACTAATGGACCGGCACTGGCCATATTAGGGAGTTCTCAAACATCAAACAGTGTTTGTTTGCAGCCAACATCAAAAAGAGAGCATAGAATAGTATAATAAAATACAAGTTGCAGAAGGCCACATATTCTCGCACAAATTCGAAATTTGGACACGAGCGACGAAGGAGCGAGTGGACGAACGAATGAGTGCGAGAATAGCCTTCTGCAACGTGAGTTATATACTATTTTCTCGATTTGGGATTCTATTTTTCATTTTTTTTAAATTTTTCATGGTTGCTGTTAATTGGGGATTTCCTTTGAATATAAAACTGCAAATAAAAATATTGTTTATTTGCAATCATATATGTAATCTTGTCATTACCGACTTTTTAAAAATTTGGAAGTGACACTTTACCTGTGTCACTTCCCTCTTCGATTTCCCTCACCGATTTCCCTATTCGACTTCCATCACCGATTTCCCTCAGTCTAATTTATTTACCTTTGCTGGCAACAATGAGAACATGTCAGGTAAAAACGTCAAAGCAGTGAATGACACATTTTGGCATGTTTGTTTTATTTTTTTATTATTAAAAAAATTAAATGACTAATCATAATTAATGGTGTGATTGCAAATAAAATAGTATACAAACCTCGGAGGAAAGTTTTCATTTCTGTCTCGAGATTAATAGTCAATCTCGACGCTTCGCGTCTCGATTGACTATATAAATCTCTCGACAGTAATGAAACACTTCCCTACTCGGTATGTAATATACTATTAATCAACATAAAATTTGAATAGGGTACTTGCATGAAAAATTAAATTGAATATTGTTTATTGCAAACTGTGGGAAATCGAAAAAAATCGATGCGTGTTTTTCTATTTTGTCCAAATATGATTATTTCGGAAGTTATAACAAAAATTGAGTTTTATATACCTATATAGATATACTGAGCATGTGCGACGTCACAACTCACAACGATTATACCTAAATTATGACGTCGGAAGGACATTTCAAAGCATTGTATCTCTGTCAATTTTTGACTAACAAGAAAAAGAAAAAACACGTGTTGACTTATTTTTCATGGACTATCGAAATCAGCAATAAAAAAATTTGATGCAAGGAGCCTATTACACATTTCGAAATTTCAACCTAAAATTTAATTAAGTCTGAAATTTCTACATATTATAAAATCCACAATTTGTTATAAATTTGGCAAGGTAATCAAAGTATCACAAACCTTGCCCAAATTTACTCAAAAACCACGATTCATCATTCACGGCGTCAGTCACCTTAATTTCCGTAATGATACAGTGTAGCGCTAATGTTTTAGATACCTGCCTAAACAAAGTCAACACACAGTTCATCTATATCAGTGGTTCCCAAACTTTTTTCTTTTGCGCCCCCTTTCTGAAATCAAGGAGTGGTCGCGCCCCCCTTCCTTCCCCCATTATACAAAATAGTTATTTATGCAACAAGTGTGTAAAGTGAACCTTTTTTCACGAATGTGAATTTTGATAGTTAGATCACATGAGTGAAAAAAGGTGCTTTACGCACGTATTGCATACAAAATTTTTTGTACTAGCAATCAAATATGTGTAAAAAAATAAATTTGGACAAATACTTTACGCACTAGTGCGTGAAGAATTTTCACTTTATGCACTAGTGCGTGAAGTAATTTACCAGAAAAATGCCAAATTGACAATGTTGACATCTGTCATTGACATTACTTTACGCACTAGTGTGTGAAGTGAATTACTTTACGCACTAGTGTGTGAAGTGAAATTTTACATCTTCTGAATAGTGCGTAAAGTGAGTACTTTACGCACGGTAGCAAATATATTTTTTTTTTACTTACTGTAACTCCTCTGAACTGGACTTTGGAAGAGGAAGAATGGACATGACAGTGGGCAGCGAGCGTGCGCTGTAGCAATTACT